AAGTTGTGACAACACATGCCAACGAACACACCATGACATATCAATGATCTCATTTGTACCAACAAGATACATATTGTTTTTGCCAATCTGTCAAGCCAGCATTCACAGTTTCACACGCATGTCGAGCACGAAGAGATAAACATCTTTCTCTTGTAAAAACTAGCCCAGTACACATGCTGAATGATGGTCAGTATTAAACATGAACTAAAGAATTAATCAGAATAGGAACCATAAATACCAGTTCTACCATGGATACATATTAAAAAGGCTTTCACATAGTGACATAGGGTATTTATTTAATGATGTTCATATGATTTGTCCTTAGCTCTTAGACACCACGACTGCAGAAACCATTATATATGGAGTATAAAAACTATTAGAACATTCATTCAGAACTTGTTATGTTTATCTCATGTAACTAACAGTTACTTATTACAAAGATCTCATGCCTAATTTGGTATGGATGGATCCAAGGTTTTTCTGAATCTATTCCAGCCTCAAGCCACATGATTTTGGCAACCCTGAAGGAACTAATTCAATCAACAAGGGTGTGGGAATGATAAGTTCCAAAGCTGGCATCCTGCTCAGCATACCGAAGGGAATAAAAGTGACATTTATTCTCAGTCATCAGATTGCTATCATCAATTCATCAAGTCAGCCATCGTAGGGCTGGCACCAAATCTGCCTAGGTTATCTTTGAGCATGGGATTTTTGAACCATAATGAAACCAAGCCGTGCTGGGCCACCATGTGGACAGACAAAGAGACCAAAGAGGTAATGCTACCAGCATCAAGAAGGCTTAATTATCTAAGGTGGACTGGTGAGGTCAGCAACAAGAAATTGGGGGCCCAAATAAGTTTCTCATTTCAGCTTGAGGTCGAGTTTCTCCAACTTCCAGTAGGATCATAGCTTGGCGCAACCATCTTGGATGGTTGTAGGTACTAGGTGGCCTAATTGATTGGAATAGGAATAAGGGAGCACCCTCCTCGGACAGAATCGCCACTGACTCAAGAGAGGGAGAGGAAGTCGTGCCCACCACCCTCCCAATTCTGGGCCACAAAGTAGATGTGATCTAACCTCCACCACTCAAGAAGGGTCTCTCATGCATGGTTCATGGCTCAATCCATATTGATGCCATTTATCGTCAATACAATTTTGTCTAATCGTTTGGCCATATACTTCAAAATTAAAGGGGAACAACTAGAATCAATCAACTAGATTAAGCCAAATTTTGGCCTTATCAGCCTATTTAATATCCTTAAAAGAAGAAAGAGAAGAGGAAAGGAGTGGGAGCCAGAGAAGCAGAGGAAAACTGAGATGAACAACACAAAATCTGTGATTATTGATTTTGAAACAGAGAAAACACTTATTGTTTTCTTTACGTTGCAACCATCGTATTTATCGTCTATCACCATCATGTGAGAAGGAGAAGGGGTAGGCAGAGATAAGGGATCTCATCTTTTCATTATTTATTGCTTTATTACCCTATACTTTTCTGGCATAGCGATTAGAGAACCATAAATGTCATAGTGGCATCTATCGCTATTTTGAAATTGCAGGTGAATAAGGTTTAGATCATTTGCATCACATATAGTATTTTTATTAAGTATAGTAGTATCTTTATGTAATATAACTGTTACTTATATTTTAATAAAAGTCACTTTTATAAATTTATTCTCACTAATATGTCCATTTCACATTTTTTAAGGGATAGATACACCTTATAAAATATGAAGATAAAACAATATTTTACTTAAAATATTATTCCTTTACATTATATTATAGGCTTTTTCCTATTTTAATAGTATAAATCCCACTAAAATCTATCTATTCAATCCTAATGACTGCAATTGTGCCATTCCTAGCCAATTCCAATAAGTATAATTGTGATCTTGCTATCCTATAATACCTCCAAAGCTTAACAGGAAAGTGAGGGTTTGCAACATACCTCCCAAGACAGTGATTCCACCTCATTGCCTCGCTTAGATAAGCAAGGTTTGCAACCAATCTAAGGGTACGTTCGCCATGTTAGTAAGAATTGGCACTTAATAAATAGGTGTAATCATTTCTAATGTCTTTACATCAACAACCTTTAGGCATAAATCCAAGATACTAAAGTTCTCTCTGAAGTTCCTCTTGCATCTCTCTTCTCCTGTTCTATCCTAACCTCTCTCTTTTCTATTTCTCCTCTTTAATCTCTCGTATAGAAGAAAAAAAACATACAATAGGAGGCAACCATCGGTATCATTGAACAAAAAGGCTTGCGTCTTGGGAGAAAGGAAATATACTATGTCAAAGCCCTGATGTACAATTTGAGGCACTGTTGTGTTAATAAATTGCATCCTTAAAGACAGAAGTACACCATGCCAAAAACAGATGCAGGATCTTTGAGCTAGTGCTGCTATATTGATGAATGATTTGGAGGCCAAAATGCATGGGATGGGGAAGAAGCAAAAAAGTTCAGATAGATCACGAATTTGATAAGATGATATACAAAGCACCACCTCTGAGCACAGATTAAAATCATGATTAGGCATCAATATTAATCAGTAGCAAGACTAGTACAGCACTGGTACAAAACACCACCGCCGAGCATGGATTAAAATCTTGATTGGGCATAAATATTAATCAGTGCAAGACTAGTACAGTACTGGTATCGTACCACTACTGTACAGTGTGCTAAGTGTTGGTACCTATAGGTACCAACCAAATCACTACAAGTAAAGAGAAAGAGTTATGTGGCAAATAGAGCAATGACAGAAGCATTGCAAATAGAGGTAATCCTCAGGGACTCACCACCAATGTGAGCATTGTTCAAGGTCAGGAGCCTAGCTGATCAAGGCAGAGGAAGGTGGTGCTTTTAGGTGAACAACCCTCCCATGTGGCGACATGGGGGCATTAAAAGGAAAGGGCGGGATGGTTTGTTTCTCACTTAAAAAAAGGAGTGGAGAAAAAGATCAAGTTAGATTAGATTTAAAACAAACAAGGGTCTGGGTAGATACCAGTAGCAAGCACTAAGTTTACGGCCGAGTATAGCTCAACATCAATAGACTTACCACCCAGTTTGCCAGGTATGGGAAGCATACCAGGTAATAAACTCGGTATTGGACTCTATCGGATGAAATCAACTGGTTCATGTACCAACCAATCATTGGACTAGTAAATAATGGTCGATATTATCAATCATACTAGTTAATACAGGCTGATACTTACCTATCTGACAACCAGTTGTGCACGAACTAGCTTAAATTTGATCCTCTACAAGACAAACCACCTGATACGCATATCAAACCATGTGAATCAGTTGGTAACTAATGGGTTCATATTACATGGTAAGCCTACCGCTCAGTCACCCAATTCGCTCTTGTCTTTTTCGTCTCATCTGGAAACAGTCATCCACTCATTCAATCACTCTTGATCTCTCAGTCTCTCCGTGAAACCTCCAAATTGTAGCACATCAAGGTTGAAACAAAAGAAATCATCATTGTATTTCACCAATCTATGGTAAATCCAAAGTCAAAACAAAAAAGTTAATTGTTAATCTTTGTTGATTTAAGCTTTATTCTTCCATTTTTCTATCTCGAGATCATGATTCAATGCTTGTCATGAATGCCTCCATTCTAGATTCTAGTTCAAGCTGTTTCCCTTTCCTACTTTTTTGTTAAAATGAAGTTGTCCTAATTATATGTCAGACCCACTCGGATACAACTGAGATCCATTTCCATGTAAATTTAAGCTAAGATCCACATGGATCTGACATACATTGTGAGATGACCAAATTCCTTGTACATGTACCATGATGCACTTTCCACTGAACAATGGTATCCACCATTTAAAAACATGGTTCTGATATACAAGCTTCTAATTCATTTGGCAGTGTCGAGGGATATTTTAATGGGAAGCGGGAAGAAATCCAACAAAGAATCAAGTCACTTAAGAACCAATAGGATCTACATGGTGACATGGTCTGACTCTTATCTGTGATCGATGGTCCAGGCCTACCAGGATGAGTATCAAGTTCTTGATATATTGTAACAGAAAGATTGCCTTCCATAAATCAGTTGATGCATCAAATCATATTCATAATACCTACTACATATAGAGAAGTGAAGCATGGACTGAAGAACTATATATATCATTTATCCCACCCAAAATCATGGCACATGCAGATCCACCTGACTGTTTATGGCTAAAAGGGTAAAGGCAAAGTAAGGCAATTATGACACAAGGAGATGAAATGTCAGACATGAGTTCCTCATGACCACAGCCTTCCTACTCAGGAAAAAGCATATACACACACATAGAGACACCCAAAACCCCCATCAAAACAACTAACCAGCACAGGTGTAAAGGCAGAGCTTTCCCATATGAAACCTCTTTGTTTGCACATAAAGAGTTCCAGAAAAAAAAGAGTGCCTTACCAATAAAAGTTAATTAAACTTAAATCACACTATCTTGTATTTTCAATAATTCAGGCCATAAAAATTCATATCTATATTTGTATGTTGTAAGTGGAGAAACTTTCTCCTAACAGAAAGTCAGGGAACTTCCAATCTTCTGCAACTGAGAACTAAGAGGTTTTTCTGCAGCTGTCAAGCAAGCCAAGGATATTTAACTTTTTGAACTTTGTTTTAGGCACGCATACCATTTTTAAATCCCAAAACTGGGTTCAATTGATTATAATCATTAATTAAAATTCACATGTCAGTAAATTTTTAAATAACAAAGTTTTAATTTAAGTTTTAATTTCATGTCATGTAACTATAATTCATGCTACACAAAAAATACAAGAATCACCAAAAGAAAAACTTAAGAGAATATAGGCCAAAGCAGAAATCACATGGTAAACCTTTCTTATGGAACCCGACAACAGAAAATGAAAATTCTATGGTTTAATTCTTTCTGACAAAAGGTGACATCAAAAACAGTCTTGTAGTTTATTTTTTATATTCTTAACATGCTGACATGCTCTTTATAATCAGTTGAGGGACATATATTACCTGAAGAAGGCGCCTGGCATAACCTCCCTCCATTATTCGTGCAAAAGAAGAAGCATGTGAATATTTGTTTCCTTCAAAAGCATCATATATATCAGGATGGGCATCTAGATGAAGAATATCCACAGGTCCACCCAGCTTTTCCGATACAGCTCTAACAACTGGAAATGATATGGAGTGGTCACCACCCAAAACCAAGGGTCGTAATGGATCCTATAAATGAAACTTTGTCAGGTCAACAATAACATAATGCAATAGAAGTAAAAACTGTTGGATGCTACAGCATACTTCTTGGAGAAATCATCTCACTGATAGCTGTCTACATAACTACTTGAAATTCAAATAATTCTGGTATTCTGGTAATACTGTTGCCAAGCCTCTTGATAGTTATGACATAATAAATATTTTAGTATTAATTTATATCATTTTCATAGATAACCAGATTGTTTTAAATTGTTTAACCTATATAAGTATATATTTTTCAAATCTAATACATGTTTAAGGGACAAATAATTTCTACATAACCAATGGTTGCCAATCACTTTTTAATTATCTATATAATTCACATATATTCTTTGAAACCTGTGGAGTCAAGGTTTGTCTTAGAAACTAGTAACTCTCAACTCTCAAGTCTCAACAAGGCAAACCTTTATTTCACATCATAGCACTGCCCTATTTTCTTTGCTAGGAGTTTTGTTGTTCCAAACAAGCATCACACTTTTGAGCATCAGATCAGTGCAGGTCATTGGCTGGATTGGTACAGATCCGGTGTGAACCAGAATTTGCACACACGATATTTCGGTACATACACCGGTACTAGAAGGAAGGATGAAGGAAAGAAAGGAGGAGAAGAAGACTAGAACGAGGAGAAGGAGAAGATGCTAAGGAGGATAAGAGGAGGCAGAGCAGGCGGAGGACAAGAGGAGGATGAGGAGACAGGAGACGAGGAGGATATGAAGGCGACGGCAGAGGAGAGGAGCACCATCAGTGGGCTGGGGGCTCTTTTTCTTCTTTTTTTTTAATGACACTCAAAATTTGTTGTTGTAGATCATCCAAGAGATCATTTTAATTCAATCTGTGTAGCTCAAGTTTCACTGAGCTGAGTTAAAATGCACTTTAAAATTAAAAGATTGAAATTTCTATCATACAAATGTCAAAACCTACGGCATTCAGACTAGTGAAGTGATACACCCACAAAATAATGGATGAACAGTATCCACAAATGTCAAAGGAAGATTAGGTTTCCCCAATCTTTCTTCTCTATTGTCTCTATTCTTCCTCTTCTATGCGACCAACATTCTGATGTCAGCATAATGGCAAATGCAGTTATCTCTTCACTGCCAGTTATTATAGGAGTATGCCACAACTCGCAAGAATACTAACCTCAGTCATAGAACATCCATATCATATTGATTTTTCTTCTCTTATCATATTTATAGCCTAGCACCATAGGATTAGACCATCGATTTAGAAAAATATAAACACACTTAAGGACGAAATTAGATTGATAAATAATTTAATGATAACTAATAATAATTTGTTTACAGGAAACCAAAACAGGTGAGGGAAATCTAGAATTGATAATAATAGATAAAAAGAAAGCAACAGGGGAAGTTAAACGTAGGAATGTTGACCAAAAAATGTAGACATTATTAGAATAGTGTAACAGAGGAGTTGCTAGAAAATTAGTGTTAAAAGTTATACTAGGAGAAGAGATCATAAATGTCATGCATTTTAGAAAAAAATAGATGAAAATTGGAACAATATAAAAAAATTACCAACAAGTGAAAAACTTGTTACTGGAAGGCAGTTAAATAGTTATACAGGAAAAAATAACATAAAGAAATTGGAGTGCTGCATAGGATTTATTTGTACAGGAAACGGAACAAAAACGGAGATATGATTTTGGATACCAGCACAACTGTGATCCCAAATGTAAATACTCACTTCAAGAAAAGAAATGAGTAATTAATCATAACCAGAAAGGAAGATAGAGTTGCATGAAAGGATTGTGAACTTATGCCTGGAGAAAGTTTGATTTATCAAAATAGATTGATAGGAGATGTATACTACAGAAAGGAAGAGTTGGATGAAAGGATTGTGAACATATACCTGGAGAAAGTTTGATTTATCCAAATAGATTGATAGTACAGAAAGCAGTTTTACTCAGTTTCACTCAGTTTACCTTTCTACCTTTTTTATAATATTATATTTGATAATACTAAAAGTGCATAACTTGTGGCTACCACTGCATGCACAAAGAGGTTGACACACAGGTCTGGATATGTTGCAAACCAAGACAAGATTGCATCTGGATATGTTGGATGGCACACAGGTCTTTGCCAAACCAGTGTAGAAGAGGAAGAAGAAGAAACCCCTCTGGTAATAGTGAAAGGATTTTAATTCATCTAAGCAAACATCATCTTGAACTCCTGTCTTTATACAATTTTCAACTCAAATACATATAAACTTATGACAATTAGGCCTCAACATGCAGAGAATCTTTTGCAAGATTGATTAGGTAGATCTAGAAGGTAGCCAGGCAGATAATAAACTCACAGTTAGCTAAGCAAAAAATTCCAAATTAGCATAGTGAAATGCATCAAATAGTTAAGAGAAGAATCTTATAAAAAGGGAAATAAATAAACAGTTGTCTTACCTCCTCCATCACTAGCTTAACGGAATCGCTTATGATATTCATTAGTCTGTCATCATCAATCCCACAATCACGTATCTCTTGGATAGGAACATCACCAACATCAGTAAGCACACGAGGATCATTTAATTCTTTACCTGTATAACCACCAAGTTGTACATGAATCAGGTCTAGACATCCAATTAGCTGAAAGAAACTGGACACAAAAGAATACAAGTGATTGACTCCAAAAAATGTCATAAAAAAAGGAGTCATCCACTTAATACTCATACTGAGTATTTCTCATATATGCCTCTTGATTTATGCTGATATGAACGGGACAATATAAAGCGAGTACTTCCTAACAATAGAACATAAAGTAATCAGATATATTTTACATAAAGCGTATACTCTTTTCTATCGTTCACCAATCCTACCTCAAAATTTTATTCATCAGCCAAATCATAAACATTACCTCAAACCAAGAAACTTCCACCATAATAAATTTTAGCTAAAAATCAATAAATTTTGACTAAGACAAATTAAACTCAATTCAGGTTCAAATTTCAACAAGCTTTAGTTTTTCTAGTTTGTTTTTGTTTAGACCAGTGTATTTCAGTCAATTTGGGGAAATGTCTTCAAAACAAACCAGAACCTGCACAGGAAAGGGTTTTTAGGTCTGCCAAACAAACTAGATCTTAAATGATCCAATTGTTAATGGGCACAGTCACATCTATGATTATACAACCTGACTTACTAACACCATCCTGATTTACTACACCATCAAACTACCTGACAAACAGGTCAGAGGAAATTTGACCACATGTCCATTTAGCAACAGATTCAGTTGGATATTGTTTTTAACTTCTTATTACTTTGTCCATTGTAAAGACATATTTGGAGTCACATTGACAAATTTTAGTTCAGGTCTTGAATCGATCAACTTGACAAATAATTCCATGGTCACCATCTTATTGATTAATGGAGTTTTAGCAGTTCTATTAACTTTGGTGCTAACCAGATGAGATCCTATTTCAATCCAAGGTGTTTAGAAGCCTAATTTCTTTTGGATATCTTTAGAAACATGAAATATTAATTTAAAATAAACCTGCCAAAGCTCAAGAAACATTCGCCACAGTTCAAGATACACAAGAATGAGATATATTAAGAACTACAACCTTTTCTTTTTTCTGTGACACTAAGACTTCAAAATGTGCAGTAAAAAAGGAAGAAACCAAATTACTACAACTAAAACAAAGAAGGTACCATAAAAATTGGAACCATGTTCTAGCTTTATAGAGAAAAACAGCTCAACTCATTGCACAACATCTCTACAAAAAAACATCCACTCATCCAAGCCTTTACCAGCTTCTATGGGGTCTGTGTGAAGAAAATTGGCTATGGAAGTATTTGCACATCTTTTTTATATCTTTTGACTTTCTCAAATTTTCTCCAAGACTCCATCTATCAAGTCCAAAGCTAGATGAATCTTAATTCATCTTGATACAGAATTATCAACTAAGAAGCCCCAGTGCAGATGAAAAGTTGCATTGTATGAGGATAGTTATCACTTTTCAACACCCTTAAAGCATCATAAAGTGAGTTTTCATGGTTGGTAACAATATCCATGTTAAAACATATTTGTCTCATGCTTCCACAAGATTATTTTTTTCTATCACCAAGAATTATCATTTTCTCATATTCTTCAATCTAATCTATTCAGTTTAAAGTCTCAATTCCACCGAGAATTTGAGACATCAGACTTGACAAAAGGATGTTATCTATGAGCAACATACATAGGGGGAAAAAACACACACAATAACATCCATAGGAAGCAAAAAAGAAGATAAGAAAAGATATACTCATTCATTCACAGTCAATGGTGATAGAGGGTGAGGTTGTCCCTCCATAGTTAATAACCTACGTGATATAAGTTCAAACACTACAATAACAAAAAAAGAGGTCATGGTTATGGTCATGACAGAGCACATACAACCACAAACATGAAGAACTTAGTTACAGCATGTACTACACATGCTTCAATAAAGAGGTCACTTTTACCAAATTAATCGTACAGCATGAAATAAAATTTTGTTAGTACCCTCTTCGGTAGTAGAATTGGTGCTACCACACCAGATAGCTTCCCTAATACGAGGAGGAGCAAAAGCAGGTCCCTGCAGGAAAGAGGAATTGTGTCCTAGTGGAACTCCCAGAAGTGATGTTGAAGCTTTAACACCACCCAAGGACCGTAGTAACTCTCCCTGGAAAAGAATGGGGATTCATAGAGTTAAGGGAGTTGCAGAAATAAAACAACAGGAACAGAGCATCTCAAAAGCAATCAACTTAACAAAAACATGCTTATAGTTGTCTCACCATTTTAAATAAGCATCACAAAGTAACCAACATAACAAAGTTATCCCATGGCTGGCTGTCATCATTCTTTTTCTTTTAGAGTCCAAATTCCCACAAGCAACACAATAAGCACTATTCGATAGTTATCAAGAAAAATGATAATAATACCATACAACGTCATATATTTTGTTTCGCAGATGTGTTGTAATACAACTAGCAGCTTAATCCCCGTGCACCATATTCAGTCAACAAACATAAATATCATCTCAACTAATTTGCAATTGGAAACTCTTCTGGTATCAATTCACATGCCTGGCTTGAGGGTGAAACATTTTAGTTTGATTACATTAAACTACTTGATTCGAGCAGAAGTACAAAAGCATGACGAGGTAGACAGCAAATACTTATCTTAATGCCTCATATACTTCTCTGGACAGGTATTTGCTGATGCAAATCCAGACTCGAATATGGTTCGTATGGCGACACTCAACATACTTTAAAAAACACTTAAAGGAGGTTAAATTTGACTGCCGTCGTTTCTAATTAATATCTTGATTCTTTAATATTCCACATATAACTTAATCACCGGCAACAAATTTGATAATACCAACAATTAAATATAATAGCTGGTGAATGCTGAACAAAACAAACATCAAGCAACAGAGTAATTTATTCTATCGAGATCACCAAATAATAAGTTTAGCGAACATAACACTCGCAGGAGGAATCATTCAGCTGCTACTACCTTGAGTTTGGCCCTTTCCCGGATTAGAGTGAGGGAAGCGTCGATGACCCGGTTCTGGCCCTTCTCTATCAGGGCGGCGGGCACGTTCGCAGCGCTCAGTTGCTTCCAGTAGTGCATCCACTTCGTCCCATGGCCCATCTTTCTGCAACGCATAAACAAGCTACACGCACTTAGGGATGTACAAACAAATGAGAAAATATCACCCTAGAATCCAAATTTTAAGACAATCAATTCACCGATGTGTCGTTGATGAATGAGGAGACGTACTCTGATTTCTATCCCTTTTTTCTCTCTCTCTCTCTTCTCTCTCTCTCTCTCTCTCTGCTACGAGAGGAAGGCTTTACGGGTGGAGCGAGTGAATGAATCTGCCATAGGGCGCTCCAACTTTGGGCGTTTGTATTGAAGTATAGAAAGAAAAGGAAGGAAATCTGTTTGTCCGTCCATTTGGATGTGTGCGCGTGCGCGAGAGAGAGAGAGAGAGGAATAGGCTGGGACTTGGGCGGCGACGCGGGTGTAGGATAAGGATGCGGTGAACGTGGCGCGCTGGGTGCGGATAATAAAGCGTTAAAAATGACAGACGTCAAATCACGGTAGCTGATATATGATGCACCGCAAGTACATTTGCTGCTGCTGACGGTGGGGTGACGAAGTGCAGTTTAACATAGTGGGGATGCGAGGAATTTAGGAACGTCTTGCTCTTTTATGGGTGCGATTAACCAGCAAAAGTCCAAAGTCGTTCTTCCTTTTTATTGCGGAGCTTCTCTATTTTGTTTTTTTTTTTGTTTTTTCTGTTGATTCATGTTAATGTAAAATATTACATTAATCTCATCTATAGAACTTGTGTTAGGATATTTTCAACAATATTCTTTTAATGCTCGGTAGGTCAAAAAAATTAAAAATATATATTTTTACGTATAAAATTTACCCCTAATCGCCATATGCTCGACAAATATCACCCAACTCGAATATACTTGAGAGAATCGGGATAGTGAAATTATGGATCCAATAACATGGATAATAATGCTAATGCTACTCGAGCATTCAATTGGGTGCTGATATGATTGATTATGCACGTATCATTTTGGGTATATTTATTTACCTCTCGTTGCATGATGAGAAATGCAAATTGATATAGTTGTGTCAAACGATAATATGCTTTCCGATTCAACATGATTGAGGTAGATGATGCTTCATGATTGTGTTGACATGTTATGGTATAACACGATGGTGTCATAGGTAGATGATGACATAATCACATCATAGATAAATGATATTTTTTACTTGACACGGTTACACTGTAGGTCAAAAGCGCTTTGCAACTTTGACCTGGTTGCATTAAAAGGCTATTGTTTGCCTAGTGCCCAAATGTACAGTATTTGATTTGCCAATCCGAGTATTTTTTTTCTTTGGTGTGAGAGTTTGAGCTCGGGGCATCAACATCTAGTCTCCTAGTATATTCTTTTATTTTATTTAAAAATTTTTGATCAAGCTCGTTCTCTTCCAAGGATATCGAGGTTCTTACGTTAAAAGTGTTTCTCATTGGGTATCATAATTTTAGGAAACAAAAAGCTTGAGTGGAGGATACTATTTTAACTTCAACTCAAGAGTCTGAGTCCGAAGCTCTAGATCATTAGTTTAGTTCAACTTTTCATATTATTTCATAAACACTTGTGTACATCAATGCCCTTAAAGAAAATATCTATAACCCCTTCCATCTAGTCCTTAGGGAGTGAAGAAAGATTTCTTTTATCCCGTTGACACATAATTTATGATTATCTCACAACATTAGTGTCGTCTTGACCTTTAATGCTTTTTTTTTTTGCTCTTCGTACTAGGTATATTTAAGGGCCAACTCTTTGTTCCTAAAGTGGTTAGAAAGTTTATTAGACTTTATGCTCTAATAAAGGTTTAAAGGTATAATTTTTCTTTTATCATGATGAAATATCGGTGGCACTTCACATTGGAATAGATCATATATATGTTGTTAAAGCACGTAAGTTGATTAAGGTGAAAATAGTATAGTTCTCCTATCTTCTCGAGTCATTTCTGATTTCATAATTATTATTCTTATATTGGTGTTGAGCCAACAGGGTACCCAAGTGCCTCCCAACTCTCCTTGAAGAGGATGGTTGATAATAGTTCCTTAAGACAAGTCGAAAGAAGTCAATATCCTCAAATACTATAAAGAGCAAGTCCCATTTGGTGTTATTAGTGTCGACATATGAGATAGCATTAAAGAGATAGAGGATGAATTATGTAATCTCCATCAATCAGGGTTATATGTGTGCTGAAGGAATACAATGTCCCAAACCATTAGAGGGCTGACTCTAACTATGTTATGATATATATATATATATATATATATCCTACAACTTGTGTATTTATGATTTTATAAAAATGATAGGAATTTATAGAGATTTACACAATTACACTATTTTTAAAAAAGAATCTGAACCTTTTGTATATTCACTAAGTATTGTAAAAAACATAAGAGTTGTATTTTAGTTTCATTGCAAACTCTCAATTAATTATATTTTTTCACATATTTTATTAGATAATTTGTAAAGATTTGAAACATAACAACTCCTAGTTTAATGTAATTGATTAAAAAATGATGTCTTTTGAATTATTATTTATATATACTATTAAAAATATTAAAAACTATTTCGTATTTTTTATATATTTAATTCGTCTCATTTTCTTTTTTAATTGTTTTATGTTATCTCTTATTATTAAAAAAGGAGAAAGAGAAGAAGAAAAAAAAATGATTTTATGTAAGAATGAAAAAAATTATTAGAATTAAATTATAGAATTAAAAAAATAAATATATTTATTTATAGGATTGTAAATAATAAAAAAAAAGTTTACAAATAGTAATATCCTCTGATCGGACGGATCCAAGAAAAACCCTAAATTCAATCAAAATTCCACTTCACTGCATGAGTACCCTCTCCGGACACCTATTTGCTTCCTCGTCAAGGTCGGCGGGAGAAGTGCTCTTTCGTGACTTCTTCACCGGCGTTTGTTTTCTCTAAAACGCCTTTTCGAGTTGAAATCCGCCGCCAAATCGGTGACGCGCCACCGTCATCGCTGCCGTTTCGGCTGCTGTCGACCGTCAGACAGAGCGCATGTGATAAATGACAAATAAGGCCGCCGGTCAACGTGCCACCGTCATTTCTTGGGTTTCCTACGGGGAGTAGAGATTTATCTTTCAATTGAAAAATCAAGGTTCTTTCTAATGTCTTGTGCTTATCTTTCTACAGTTTTGTTAAGGGAACAAAACCATTTATTCTTAAACAACGTGAATTTTGATCTATGTCTTATTAAGGTTTGAGAAAGACGGGTAAATTTAAAGAAATGCTGATGGGGTAAATCATTTCAAATATGAAGTTCCGCATCACTAGAACAGAAGTTAAAAGTTTTGTTTATCCTCCTTGATGGTTATTTTTGCATAATTTATCATCTTCAAGCGTTCTGGTTTTTTCCTTATAAGAATCTTTATCTAAAGTCCATTGAAAGTGAAAATGTTTTCCACATTTCCATATAATTGTTGTATCTAATCGGGATTTTGGTCATAGTTCGGGGAAAAAAATCAATGGGATTCGATCAATTTTTAGTTGTCAAAGATTCAGATCGGATCTGGATTATATGATCTTGGTCTGTTCGTAAATTCTCTCTTCCTGCAAGCGGCATTCTCTATCGTGTTGCAGAAATCAAGTAAAATATTGGGACTTGTATTGTTTACTTTTTTCTGCCAAATATGGACCCATCTGATTTTCTTATTACTAGCTTCTTTGCTTTTGAATAAACATTGTTTGTTGTTTATTATGTGTGGATGTCCACTGTAGGTGCCAAATGTTTTGAGGTTCATGGCGTTCTTCAAAACAGTGATTGCAAAATTGGTATGCATCTATATTCACTTTGTTGTTGCCTAGTTTCTTCTTATGGAACTTCTACAACTGCATTGAACTTTGTTGCATCATGGGATATATCACATGCTTTAAGCTTTTTGTCCATGCAGTTAGTTGTTTCTTTTATTTTTAGTATACGTTGGTACTACTTTTTAGCAAATGTAACTGGACTATGTCTACTGTTTAATATGTTTGGTGTTACTTTTCTTATTAGTGATAGCGATGCTATCAGCAATCTGTTTACACTTTTGTGAATTTTATTTCTCATCCGTTCCTTTTATCTCTTGTAGGCGACAGAGGCTTCATCTAACAGATGCAATCCTTTTATAGCTTTTGTTTTGGGTAAGACATTAAATTTGAACTTTGATAAACACAAATAATATTATTTTAGATAACTTATTATTTGTTTAAATTGGGCTTCTCTATAGCTTTTCTTTTCTTTTTAATCTACAGACAAAGCTAATTGGAAGCTTTTTTTATGAATATATTTGCAATGCATTTATTATCACTCTTGTTTGCACTGTGCTTTACTTTGGTTTAGTTTATGTACTTGACCATGTATGCCAAATAAGAAATGTATTTCCATAATTTGGGTATTTTTGTATCAAATAATGCACAATAAATCTTAAACATTCACTCTGAGTGATGAAGAATATCTAGAAGATTTTGCTTTTCATACTTTTCACATGCATGTTACCTTGGTTAATGTGTTGATTAAATGTTTTAGCCAGCTCAATGCAAACATGCACATGTTGAAAGAAATAGATTCAATGCTTCTAAGTCATTGAAACAGCCCAGTATGTCTCACTCCTGAGAAGTGTCTTAGTCTCCTTGAATAAATTGCAAGAGAAAGTTTTTCTGCCTTTTTTTACCTTATTTGGCAGTAAACTTAGTTTTAATGTTGATGAGACACAAGTTAATACTTTTTAAGACATTCTGTCAGTGCTGAAATTATGCCTTACTACTAGATAGAGTATTAGTTTACTTAAATTATCAGATTACTGCAAGAGCAAGTTTTATCAGTGACTTTTACCTCATCTGAATTTAGGTTTTATTACTCATGGAAATTCTAGCCAGACTTCATAGCTTGCTGAAGTTATTTCGCGTGTTCCAGGTGGTCCTGGCAGTGGGAAAGGAACCCAATGTGTGAAAATTGCTGAAACCTTCAGATTTGCACATCTGAGTGCTGGTGATCTGTTGAGAGAGGAAATGTCCTCCAATAGTGAAAATGGGTATGTAGTCAGAGTCATTATTCTTTTTAACATGTTATTTTATGATGTCAATAAGAAAACTTTGCCTTAACAAATTTTGCTCCGTAGAACAATGATCCATGACATAATCAAGGACGGGAAGATTGTTCCTTCAGAAATAACTGTCAACTTGCTAAGGAAAGCAATTCATTCAAGTGGGAACCATAAGTTTCTAATTGATGGTTTTCCTCGAAATGAAGAAAATCGTATTTCTTTCGAGAGGATTGTGAGTTTTTTTCATTTTTATTTACTATTGGGTTGTTAAGTCACTCATCTTTTCATATATATAATTGTATGTTCTCATCTAGTTACTTTCGCTATTTTACGTGTTTGCATATTGTGCCATGATCTCCAAGTAATCTAATACATAGAAATGATAATTGACTAACTAAGGTTATTATTGTTTCTGTTATTAAGAATCTGTTTTTATCATCTTCATAAAGTATTGTACATGATATAATTGGTAATTACACGAGATGAAAGTCACATATTAATTAGGATCAGATCAAAGGAAGGTCTCTAATTATGATAAACTGTGGCTACAAGCCACATGCTACGTGTAGATTGGACTTGCAAATCCTGCTTTGCCATATTTTGTTACTTTCTTTTTGTTAGAATGAGATCAGTATTGTCCTTCGTCACTATCTTTATTAGTCTCTTTCAGTTGAAATCAGTTTCATACCTTCAATGTCAATGGCTTACCCACAACAAATAGACCATATTGGTTGATATGCAATTGCAGTTTTGGATAAATACTGGATCTATGAAAACTTAAGACCTTTAAATTGAATCCATATCTATTGCTGACTGTTGCGTCCAGACTTTATAGTCTCTAGTATCTATATTGGCAACTTATATTAATAACTTTATTATTGTATAAAACAACAGCAATTGAGGTTCATCACTTCTATTTCCTAGTGATCATTTATTACCATCAGTTATAATATTTTTTAAGGAAAATATTTTTTCTCATATCTAAATATTAAGATATTATTTATTAGGGATATCTTTCAGTTGCTATGCTAATTTTTTTCAGGTATATAATTCTAGAAAAATAGTGTCATGGTATATGTCTTGTGGTATAATTATAATACAATCACTATATGGATTATTGTTGGTGGGAGAACATTTTCGCCATATTGATGATGCTTTCATGTGGTCTTTTCTCTTGTTATTTATAGTAATGTGGTTCTAATCATAAGTTCAACATGATGAGTGCTAATGATGTGTTGAAATAATTATAAATGTGTTTCCACGAATTAAGATATGCTTACATATTATTGCATATTATTTAAGGGGACTATTTGCAGGACTATGTTGATAATAGATAGGAACTTAGGTCTTATTCAGAAGAGTGTAAGAAAATCTTTTGTGCATGTACATGAGCCTAACTTCCCTAGTGGTTGCTCATGGAATCCAATGTTGTCAAAGATGTTAGGTGCTAAAAGGTGCATGGTTCTAAAATGCTGGAGGTGCTAGGTGCTTGCCTAGGTTCTCGTCTAAATAAAGTGAGATGCCCACCGATGTACAAAATTATAAAAATATAATTATGGATAAAGCAATCATTATAGTAAAATACATGAGTTTCATATCATTTCATATTAAAAAAATACTATCAAAACATCAAATTATATATATTCAACTCAAGGATTGTAATTTCGTACCGTACCGAAGTTTTGATCTCAGCTTGGTACGGTACGAGCATAGATGTTAAAAAATAAAAAAAAGAGGCGGCGTTGCCTCGTTTCTTCTCCCTGCGCAGATGAGGAGAAGTCGTTGACTACGCCGAGGCCTCGTCACCTCAGACGAGGAGGAGGTGACATTTCATTTGTGGCATCCGACGAGGGAGGGCAGTGACAGATCGGGATTGTCGAGGGAGAGCGGCATCGGATCTCCAGGTTCTCCCTTTTCTTCTCCCTCTTTTTCCTTCTCCCTCGGCTAATACCGCCCGCTACGGTAATGGGGCGAAAACAACCCCAATGTATGATATCGCCCAGTAGCGGGCGGTCCATGTATCGGTCTATTGGCGGATCGATATCATTCGAAATTAAAATCCTTAGTTTAACTATCTATAAAGCATTTAAGTATTAAGTTATTTAATTCTAATAATAAACAAAATAAAACAAAAGAAGATTTATAGTAAAATTCCAACAATTTCATTAATAAAGTCAATGATTATAAACGTCCACGTAAATCATCAACATCATTAGGGGGAAGGGGTCCATGCATGAGAGGAAAGGGGATGTTGCCACACTTGATAGAGACACCTCCAGGGGTCATGTTTGTTAGAGAGGAAGCATTTGACATTGGAGGAAATAGCCATGACAAATGTGCACTCGGAATTGTGGCCATTGGAGAGGAAGGATCAATGGAGGAAGCACCCATCATGGCTGTACACACAAGGTCACTACCACTAGAGAGGAAGCAAATGGAAGTGGAGGGAGGAAAATTGGTTTCAAATATAGCAAGATCGATAGGGTTTATGACGTGCGAGGGGGGAGTAGGGGGGTACAAACTGTGACTTATTCCTTATTTGGTCTGGACTGAACCACTTCGTTCAGTTTCAAATTGAGCTGGTCAAACCACTTGACATTTCTAGTGTAACTTGGGTTTGGTTGCTTGGGTTGGACCAAGCGAGTACTCGAGCTGCACATTGCTAGGCACTTGCCTAGGTGGTGCTCGAGTGAAGTTGCTATAGTTGAGGTGCTCGGGGCTCGCCTCGCGTCGCCCGAACTCCTAGGTGAGTGGTCGGTGACAACACTGGTGGAATCTATAGCTGGTTGTCTTAAATTCTTAATAAGTTTATGAGGAAATAGAGATGATTTTTCAATTTCCCATTATTGTATTTGACATGACCATTTAATTTGGTCTGCTGTTGTATTTTTATTAGGAATTGCTAGCTCACAAGGATCTTTGCTCTAGAAATAAACATACCATGAAGCTGATCAATAGGATTTGCATTACATATTTTAACCAAGGTAATAATATCTATACATTAGTATGCATAGATATGTGTAACACATTGCCCTTCTAGTGCTAATGTACTGTGAGGGGATGCTTAATTGTACTTGTAAACAAGGGCTTTTTTCTGTGACTCACTTTACTCGGTGCAGGTTGGGGTTGAACCAGATATTGTGCTCTTTTTTGACTGCCCTGAGGAGGAGATGGTTAAACGAGTACTAAACCGTAATCAGGTTGTTGTTGCTTTAATGACTTTGATTCTCAATATTTCCAAAATTTATAATTCTTTGGATTTGAGTTGATTATTACTGCAAGTGATCAATTTGTCCAGGGAAGAGTTGATGATAATATTGACACAATGAAGAAACGTCTCGAAGTGTTCAAGAAACTGAATCTTCCTGTAATAGATTATTACTCTGCAAAAGGAAAAGTTTGCAAGGTAATTTGAAAATAATAGGCCATGAATTTGTTTTTGTTAGGACTGGTATTTATAACACTTCCCCTTTCACTTTCTTCAGTTCTTAGATCCTGTTCTACATATTCCTGTACCAGAATGACATATACTATATGCCTCATCTTCATATACTGAGTCACTCGAATGTCTATATATTTTTATATATTTTAATGGATGCCATTCTTTTGTGTTCCCTTTAGGTGTTGTGGTTGTTTGGTTTTTTGGTGTTTTTGTGGAAATTCATTTTGTCTAGAAACATTATCTTATCACAACACTAAAGCAGTTCATCACTTTATTGGATATTTTTGTTCAATATTTCCACTTGATACATGAAGTTTTTTACTTAGGTTATTAGAGTTCCAATCTTTTCCTGCATTAAACATGTGAATGGTGAAAGATTAAGAGCACCTATGCTGGATGCTATGGTAATTGATATTTTGAATGAGCTTTCTTTTAAATTTGTACCAAAACTTTCCAGCATTTTTTCAAGCTACAATTTCTTTAAATGCCTGATTGCTGAGCCTTAAATTATTTGGAAAACTTATAAAATGCTTATATCGTAGGAGAGTCCACTACTAGTTTAGTTTTGGATGGCAGACATGCCAGTGTTGTCCTGTTGGAGTTTTAGTGGCAAGATGAGGTTCTGACATCTCCTTGGTTTGTTATATTTCTGTTATAATGATGTCATTACCCTGATATTTATCAGTCACATTAAGAAATTTGGTTAAATGGAGTCAGTTCGAGTCACTGTCATGCTAAATTAGTGAAATAGAGTGAGAAGAGCAACTAACAAATGGCAGAAAGAGGAAAGAGAAAGATATGAGGTTCTGTGTCAACTGCCAAAAACGAAAACTTGTTTACCTTTAACTTATACTTTGTGATGGTTCACTCTCATCTATCTAGGGCGTGAACCCTAATCAAACCTATTCTGATCTAAATTATTGATATAATGGAAAATGATTGTCAACATGAGTCCCAGTGATTTAAAAAGCGCTAGGCGCCAAAAGGCGCCAAGGTCCAAAAACGCCCGAGGCGCTAGGCGCTCGCCTAGGCGCTCGCCCGAGCGAAGCGAGGCGCTAAAATATAAAAATATAAAATATAATTAATAAATATAATTATTTAAAATTTTAAATAAAAATATAAAAATATATAATATAATTAATAAATATAATCACATTAACAGTATAAACCTGCTGACGGAGAAACAAGGAAGCAGCGGCGAGCAGCGGCGGCGAGCGGCGGCAGCAGCAGCAGCGGGAGGCCTCGAGGGAGGCGCGAGCAGCGGGAAGGCTCGCGGGAGGGCTCGAAGGAGGCGAGAGGGCTCGCGGGAGGCGCGAGCAGCGGGAGGGCTCGCAGGAGGCGT